TGACTCGACGCGCTGTCGATCGCGCGGTGGCTACACACACACGCGACCGATTACATGACCTCCGTTGCGCAGAGGTAATAATATTATATTAAGGTATAGCTCGGCTCGCTGTGCCTGTGATGTAGCATTCGATATCAAAAACCGGACACAAACTGGTCGATGGGTTTACTGTAGAAATATTTAGTATTCACGGGTACAGGTGGACGCGTAGCAATACCTTGGTGAGTAATGATGAATAGATGCTCGTCGTGTACCTTTTCGCCATGTACTTCACTCATCAGTGTCTGGCATTTTAGCAGTTTATCCAACTAGTATCGAAAAGAAAAATGGAAAAAAATAGCCATTATCAACAACCTCGAACTATTGTGCTCGATTTATCAGATGACCACCTCTATAAAATCATTACAAACAGAAATTCGCCCTCATTTGGCCCATTCGCCAAATGTTGGGCATTTAATTATTATATATATAATAAATATTTCATTTCTCGCTCGAATACACAAACAAGCACGGGCACGCGCATACAGACACGGTCGCGCACTAATGTAAACACGTGTATACGCACTTAGATGCTTACGCACACATTTACGCACGCATTTACGCACTTAGGTTCTTACGCACGCATTTACGCACTTAGGTGCTTAAGCACGCATTTACGCACTTAGGTGCTTACGCACGCATTTACGCACTTAGGAGCTTACGCACGCATTTACGCACGTAGGTGCTTACGCACGCATTTACGCACGCAGGTGCTTACACACGCATTTACGCACGTAGGTGCTTACACACGCATTTACGCACTTAGATGCTTACACACGCATTTACGCACTTAGGTGCTTACGCACGCATTTACGGACTTAGATGCTTACGCACGCATTTACGCACTTACACACTTGCGCATGTATGCACGCACGCGCACAAACAATCATAGATGCACACACACACACACACCTGTAGATAGTCTCCATAGGCGACACCCTTTATCGGTGTTATATAGGTTTTCGTTGAACCTGGCTCCGGCGTCTTGGACGCATTAGGCTCAGTCTTACTCTTTGCTGCCGTGTAAAGTCTACAGAAAGTGAATGCAAGGGAACAAAAAAACTTCAAAAGCTACGACGAGAAATAGTCCGCTAAAGCAAGAAGCATAATTATGGAGCAGACACATCTAACAGAATCAACAGAATGCGCTTCTGCAAACGTCCAGTAAACAGATGGATGCAGACGCTTCGTATATATGTTATTGAACAGTAAATATCATTGATAATTACCGAGAAACAGCATTTAACACGGAGTTAATTACAATCAACAAACTAGTTCTAGAGAAACAAATAAGTCAAAATAAGAGTCAACGTGAAAGCAGCAATTAAAGTAGCTTTGTCAACGTAAACGATACTGATGATTTTTTGAACGAATACAAACTATCAAAGTTATGTTTTTTGTTCAATCCCAATGAATAAATTATTACATAAAACGTTCTGTTTTTATAACTCACAAAGTCAGCAAATTTAGCGAGCAGAATAATTAAAATTGCCCAAAGTGATGTTTGTAGATATTTTACAAGAAATCCTATCGGCTTGAAGATTGTTTTATTGATAATTGATAATTGTTTTAAATCAAAAACAATTGTTGTTACAAATAAAAATATGAGATTGTAATTGTAAAGCTTGAAGTTACTTTCTTTGTAGACTTCCACTAGTATTTAATTTCATATTTACTAGAATGCAATTAATGCATTTTCTTAGAAAATATAGACGTGCCATCCCATTATTAAGGGAGCGCACACAAACTTCTTATTGCACTATAAAAATACACTTTAATATATATATACTGTATATATATATATATTATATATATATATATAGTATATATTATATAGTGTATATATATATTATATATATATATACAAATATAAATAATATATAATTATATATATATAATTATAACTGTTTTTATTGCAATATAAAGATACTTAATATAATATATATATATATATATAATATAGTATATATATATATATATATATATTATATATATATATATATACAAATCCACAAAGAAAAACCCAAAAAAGCAACATACCCTCGACCAAATGGACACGACATGGTTTACGTTGCGATTCCCACTTGCTACGAGCTACGACTACTGGCATGCGGATGGTGTGAAGTGTTTTGAACGTGGCTAATCAGGTTTAGTCAAACCTGAATAATACGTAGCGCGTAGATGACCGCACACTTACTTAACAAGCAGCGCGACCTTGTGGTAGACAAACGAAGCTCCATAAAGCAAGTTATAAATCGCGGTCACCCCAGGGTGATATGTTAATCTAAGAATATATGAAATCATATAAAATCAATGAAATCATACCCCCAAGAAAGTATTTGCAAAAGATACACCAGGTTTATTGTCATTACAGTTTGGTCATGTTATATTTAGGAAAAAAAATTGCAAAATCATGACTTTCGTGGGCATAACACACAAATTCATAGTATGACTACAGCTTAACCTATACATTACTGGCACGTGTTCTAGCACGTTACTAACCAGCGTTCTTGCTTAAATAGACACGCGGCTGCAAAGATATCACTACCATGCAACGTCTCGAAATGCATAGAATTCAGGAAACCATTGCCGTTTAATGGCAACAGATATACGAGCATTGGTACAGGAATGCATACTATTTCGCATTGGAAGCGGAAACTTTTACATAACTACATGTGGCCTTGTTGGTGCAAAACATTAGGACCCGTGAAAGAAATGAACGCTTTGGCTGCCCCGAATAAACAGTTACTATACATATTGTCGTTCGCTGCAAAACAGGCGAGGCATATGATATACACGCACACACCCGCACGCACGCACGCACGCACACACGCACGCACGCACGCACGCACAAGCACACAGTAAACGCACGTACATGATCGCGCACGCGTTCCCACATACAGAGGGAAATAGAGAAAAGAGAGAAAGAGAGAGTGGGGGGAGGAAAAGAGACGGGGAGGAAAAGAGACGGGAAGAAAGAGAGAGAGATGAAGAAAGGGAATGAGGGAATATCAGCTGTAGAAGGAGCTATTAATACAGCGTACAGGAGTAAACCTGTAGTCATAGCAAACAGACATATTATTATTCTTATGTATTTTATATAATTATTGAGCGTGTCATGTAACACGCCACCTTGCAAGACCAATGACGCAATTTCACACGAAATTCGAATCATGAAATTCGAGTGCCGTTTTTTTATTTGGCAACCAAACCCACAATAAATTGAAACAGTAGCAGTTATAGGCTCGGCCAGTCTGCAGAATGAAATAAGACCGGCTGCTAGCTTAAGCCTTCCATGACGGGGCCTTAAGAAAGCAAATAAGTGACGCACGCACACTCACGCGCGCACTCACACATTCATAAGGCGATCAGCGCTCCTGTAAAAGGAACGATAATCAATCAACATTAAATTCCATAAATTTAATCGTGCAATCATCTGCTGGGCATAGTTCATCATAATATATTCAATGTCTGTGTGAAGTTCACAATTTCCAGGAATTTGCAACCTTTCTCATGCACAAAATATTCCTCATTTAACAAGTACTGATCATGCACATGAGTTCTTAGATGGCCTGTCACTTGCCATGCGAATTTCTGATTTTAACACGTACATATAATTATTCGTTAATACACAGCAACCTGCTTATGTACAAAATTTACGACTTAAATATGTTCCATAGCAGCAACATCAGGCCTGTATGGTTGTTTTATTGCGAATTATATATCGCAAAAACCATATAACCAACATATCGAAACACAGTGATTATGACTTCTCTCATATCAGAGCCCAATAATGGTTAATAAAACACGACAATAAATTTCTTTAACTTTGTCCGACCTACTGTTGACTGCATCCTTTCAAACAGTCGCAAACCAAATCTGTTATTGCGTTGCGTTGAAATAATTCTAACGGCAAAAACAGTTGTAATAACTACGCATGACAGAACGCAATTAAAGTATAGTTATTTTTGTGTTTTATTCGATGTTTACAGGGCTCGAACAGAACAATCATCATGATCACAAATTCTCATAATATCTATTTGGTGTAATGATAATAAAGCATCAAAGGGTTGATGATATTGCTATCAATAGCAACATAACACGTAAGTATGTTTATGATGCTACTCCTGATAAGAACTGTGGGCTATATCCATCTTCTGTTCATAATTTGCCCCTTATATATTTTCAGTTACTACCAACTGCCTTCAAATATCCGTCAGTAAATTGTACTGAATGTAGCAACATGAACACATACCAATGTTACGCCACAAACATAGAACAACGAATATTACATCATATTGTTGTACTATAATACAACTGTTTCATGCAACCATCTCATGCTCAGTATGTACAGCTTTGAATGTCTTATACTCAGGCCACAGAAAATTTACCCAAAAAGAGAAGATACGAAACAGCTCCACTGCGCATTAACTGACACAAAGTTTTCACCAGCTAAGCCTGTGTGACACACTCACCGGGAAGCCTCACATTACCAATGAATCTCGCAAAACAGTGCTAGTAAGGCAATATAACAATCCTCGCTGTACGCTATCATGGAATTCCAAAGTTGACGACAAGATCCTCCTTGTGCGTAACGACTACCTTTCTCATCGCAGCAGCAGCATGGTCAGATGTATTTCTGATCTACAAGAAAATCGCAGAATGGGCACATGAATATCTACACAAAGTAGTTACCCTAAAAAATCTAGTTTTATATGTTACTATCTGTACTTTCAGTACCGTTATTAGTACTTTAAGACTAATAAGTTACTTTAAAATGATCTTATAAGTTATAGCAGGATAATTCTTACCATTATTATCAAGTATCAGCAAAAAATGCTATTATGACATTAGTTACATACTACAAAATAAACTGTGTTTATGTATGAAACAATGAAAGCACGTGTAATTTTTACACGTACGCATAGTGGCAAGCATGGTTAGGTATTATAGTTCCTCGATTATGACATATTAAAAACTCCAATCATGATGTCCAATCACAATTGTAATCAATTGCCTCAACCTTCTCACTCTATACCAGTAGTTCCCAACCTGGGGTCCCCGAACCCTTGGGGGTCTGCAAAGGTAGTATTGGGGGTCCGTGAGCTAAGTTCAACATTTTAATGACTTTTTATCAAACAAGTTTGTTGCGAGTTAACAATACCAGCTTGTTGAGTAGACAGACCTTTCAAAAACCTGGGGTCTGTGGAAAAATTAATTCAGATAAAAGGGGTCCTTGGCCGTGAAAAGGTTCGGAACCACTGCTCTGTACCCTTTGATTTCTTCACAAAAAACAGTATACGTGCAAACACTTACAAACTGTAGATCACTGGCTGAGATAGGTTCTGCAGACAGCACCCTGTCTAGAGCTGGCACGTCCACCAGCAGAGCCGGCCGATGGAGCTTGTTCAGTACGCTAGCGCTGTGACAAATTGATGTCAACCTAGAGCTGTCACCAGACATAGAGTGAAATCGTGTCATATAGTGTGAATAGATAGTCGAACAGCTTTACGTAATATCATCATTAAGTCAGCATGCGCTTGGAGTTGGCTGGCCCTAGTGGTTTGCTATAATACCATGGAAAAGCAACACTGGCAATGTCACCTGGCATGTCCACCTAGCAATACAGTAAAGTAAATAATAACAGTAGTAGAGATGAGTATGAATCATCAGTAGAATAACAGTATAACAGGGTTACAGTCACAGTAATACACATTTCTTTCTATGGAGTTTCTAGTAGTTTTCCAGGACTTAAAAAAGGTCCAGTTTCAACAAAAGCAAGATTTTAGCACAATAAAATTGTCATGTCTAGTATCACTCAATCAAGATTTCATTGACGCTTAAATAACCTAAACATATACTCAATTTCAAGGCCTTTCTAAGACCAAACTTAATAATAATCCATTCTTCCAGAGTTGCTAAGACCATACCAGACCAGCCTGTTTGCTATTTTAAAAGGGCATTTTAAAATTACATGACTTTCTAGATTTCCCAGCACTTGCCTGACTGTAACGTGAGTTAAATTTAAACTAAGCGTACAAGGAGTGAGGTGGGACACTGTGCTAACCTGTATTGTGTTGCCCTGTCTATGTATTCATGCTGCTCCACCATGTGTGTCTCAATAGCTGACACGTCGATGACATTACTGCAAAATAGATATGACAAAAACTTATTGGCGAGGATGGACACTTGTTGTTGAGTTATTTTTGATTGGCTGAGCCTAACCTATTAGAATATTATTTGTTCTTGTATTCATGGCTTGCTTGATATGAACAGAGTAATGCTGTAGGATTACTCAAAAAAATCCAGTTTTTAGAGTCAGCTAATAACGTTTATAAATAACCTTGAATTTCTTTTCAATTATCACAACCAATCAAACCTGGTTTTTTACTAGGGTAATAGGGTGTAGCAGCCAGGTGAAACACAAGCAACACATGACGCCATCTAGTGGCCATAAAAGATGAACATTGGTGACATTTGTTAATTTACTTGATTTTTGGTATTCAAAACCTCAGGGTCATTAGAATATTACTACATCAAAATGTAAATTAAGCCTGTGCCATGAGATGAAAGTTGAACATGCTAGATCGTATTGTGAGTAGTGGTTAAAACGGTACAATTCTTAGCTGTTTATGCTGTGTCTGCTTACACTTGAACCCACACTAATATCTGAATGAGCAGTGAATATGGGTTCTTGGTTGGTTTTAAAATCACATACTTTGCCGTTTGCATGAGTATCCTACTAAGTGCAGACTGTTCATCTGCTTGCTGGGCAATCGATGATGGTACACTACCATAGCTGTCACTGCAAGAATGAAAAACAACAATACATATACACGATGACACTTCATTCTGGTGTTGTGGGCTGGGCTTTGCAGCATGTTGTGCTCATAACAAATGCAGCCGATTATTAAAAAGTCAAAAATGGTTGCCAACTACTAAATCTTATGCAACTAATAGTTCTTGCATCCAAGATGTGATTTCTAAAATCGATATTTTGGTAACATTCAATTGAGATAGATTATCGACTGCTGGTCAACAAGAATGCATAAACCCGGGTCCTCCCAAGGCTTTTTAATTAATCTCGGATCTGACATGCTTTCAAAGCTGAAGCTAATATGCGACATTACGTAAAACATTTAACATGCCTTAATTGCTTAATCTGCCTCATTTTTTCAGCTGTGTTCAGTTTTGACAATCCCAACACTGTCATATGCTGTGTTTTCTCATTGCGATTTGTATGTCCGTGAAGTGATCACATATATCTGTGTACTGGGCCCAGTCACAGGACACTCGAATTATAAAATTGGGGATGCTTTTTCTAATTGCCTGTGTCATTACATTCTTCACACATACCTGTGGTTCACCTGACTATTGCTAACAGGATTGGGAAGAATCAACCTGGTTCTTTCATCAGGGTCTCCATCCTAAAACATTAAATATTATTATTATTAATAAATCTTTATTGCATGTAATTCAAATACATGCATGGCACATGTACATACATGTACTTACATACAAATATAAAGTAAAATTAACAGTAATAAACTACAGATTTTTAAAGTTGTAATTTTAGTATATATATTGAATTTTTCTATGTGTGTAAAGAATATAATTATGCTGTATTGTATAACAGAAAGGGCAAGCGACAATCCTGAAAGTAACCAACCACAAAATGCAATGTAAAAGCACCTCCCCACCACACGCATGCACACACGCACGCACGCACGCAGGCAGGGCACCAGGCAGGCCACAGCAGGACGCGCAGGCAGCACGCACGCGACGCCACGCCCGCGCACGCACGCAACGCACGCCACGCAGCCACGCCACGCGACGCAGCACGCACGCACGCACACACACACACACTATATTTGCACATGCATGCTAATGTGATTAGGTAGTTCAGAAGCACCACATTTTAGTCGAATCTCGTGTTTAAAAAACTCAGGTATACATGATTGCAATTTTGCTCAAGCTGTACTATCACAACTACGTCCTTGGAGACTGAAGCTCTTATGGATTTAGAAACAATATCAGACATTGGCGTCCGGCGTTCAGTGACGAGGACACTCTAGGGACACAAACGCAACCAATGAAGATGTAAAATACACCGGCACTGACCACCTTCTGTTGAAAACACCAAGATAAGGTTTGGGTGTCAATTATGAAGCGTCGAAATTTGCATGCCTGCGCTAAGGACTCTGCCTGTATAACGTAAAAAATAACTACTAAGCCAACTCTTAGCTCGTTTTTCTCAGTGCTAACATTGTAAATGCCTGATAATTGATACTAATTGAATGAATATATATTACTATCGCACACGTGGCTAGCAGGTACAGCAGCCATCTTCGATTGAAAGCCCTATTCGGATTTGAGGCAGTATGTTTTGGCGATCTTCTTGTTTAAAGTTTACAACAAGTGCCGCAGTGCGACAGGGCTCATCTGTGTTCCGTGTTCTGCTGATAAATTCAACTTGTGCATAGCAAGACGTCTTTATACCATATCTCTCTTTTATTCTGTTTTGCCTTTCGTAGCCAATGGAACAAATACTCAGCTACACTTTCGCACGCCACCTAATCTCTATGCATTGCGACACATGTGCATTGCAGGTTGGCAGGCAACAATTATGATTAGAAGTGTGCCAGCCATGGGCTGCCCCGTGTTTTTGCCTACCCGGACAGACTGCTTTAGAAAATAATAATGATTTAAGGAGCTAAACCTTGTTCACAAACATTTGCCTTTGCAATTAACTGTGCAACTGTAGCCTCACATTCACACAGGTATGGGCTCTAATAATAGCAAAAGCAGTTCAGCCTTTGTTCAACATCAACAAATCAATGTTTAACCCTCCTCTTGAGGTCAAAAGGTTATCCGACACTTACTCGTTCGCATGTCGAGCGGAAGTACATTTCCCGGCCCTTCAATAAAGCCATAAAAATGGTAGGTCACCACGCTGAAACAAGAAAGTTTTTCAATTGCTCCGTCAGACCATGTCCTCAGAAAATGTCTAAAATCTGCCCTCTGCCCATTGACCTTGACCTGTGACCTCCAATTTCGGCACAGTGTGGCTTTTCCTACCATGATGCTATCACACGGACTATCACCGAGCCTAGGTCGAGCCGTTTAGATTTGTGCTGCAATTCTGCATTTCCTTCCTATACATTAAGTTAAGGAGGGAATGTTCCCCCTTCTTTTACACCTCTTGACCTTTGACCTTGACCCCAGCTTCAAATCCAAACTCGTTTTCGGATTACCCCACATACCGAATATCGTGACCGATACAACGAGCAGTGAAATTTGTGCTCACTGTCTGACGGACGGACAGACGCACCGGATGCACGAATGGCCGCACAACCTCATGCGATCTACAAGCTGCATCTGACTACGTCAGATGAGCCTAATAATGTTCATTTTCATACCTAATCCGAGTGTTCTCCCTAGCTCTCAAACAGGGCTCGACTTTAACGGTGGCCGCGGGTGCCAATGGCCACCTGAAAACGCGCTCGGGCCACCTGAAACTGTTCGGTTGGGGCCGCCTGGCCACCAACAAAAATAAGGCCGCTGGCTGCGCGACACCGGTTCCCGGACAAGGAGCCGCTAGGCTACGCGTCCCACACATCCTGCTCACACAGAGATCTTCGTTGACATGTACACGCATGATTACACGGAAGGGAGTGCTCTGCTGATTGCCAAGTGTGTGTGTACGTGTGCGTGTGTGCTATGCGTGTGCGCAGTGCGCGTGTGGCGTGTGTACGCGCGCCGTGTGTGTGTGTTGTGTGTGTGTGTGTGTGTGTGTGTGTGTGTCGTGTGTGTGCATGTGCGCGTGCGCGCCAGTCCGTGTGTGTACGTGTGGTTTACTGGAAGCAGATTCTGAGATTCAATCGCAACAAGAAACAATGCTTTACTTGGCCTAAATCAATAACAGTAAAGTTCAACGGCTGCAATCCATTCGCTACCTATCAGCTGTGGGTTTGTTGCGCGTCAATTCATTCTTCGCACAAGTTCAAGACAAGTGAGTACATACCAGAGTGTATGTATAGAGAGGGGTGTAGGGAGGATACACTGTAGCGACAGGAAGGGTGTAGGTGGGAGAGGTGTAGGGATGATACACTGTAGAGACAGAGAGGGTGTAGGGGGGGGTGTAGGGATGATACACTGTAGAGACAGGGAGGGGTGTAGGGATGATACACTGTAGAGACAGGAAGGGTGTAGGTGGGAGAGGTGTAGGGATGATACACTGTAGAGACAGAGAGGTGTAGGTGGGCAGAGGTGTAGGGATGATACACTGTAGAGACAGAGAGGTGTAGGAGGGAGGGGTGTAGGGATGATACACTGTAGAGACAGGGAGGGGTGTAGGGGGAGGTGTGTAGGGATGATACACTGTAGAGACAGAGAGGGTGTAGGGGGAGGTGTGTAGGGATGATACTTAGCAGACAGGAAGTGAGGGGAGGGTATAGGAATGATACACTGTAGAGACAGGAAGGGTGTAGGGGGGAGGGGTGTAGGGATGATACACTGTAGAGACAGGGATGGTGTAGGGGAGGGGTGTAGGGATGATACACTGTAGAGACAGAGAGGATGTAAGGGGAGGGGTGTAAGGGAATGATAACTGTAGAGACAGCAGAGGGTGTAAGGATGATACACTGTAGAGACAGGGAGGGGTGTAGGGGATGATACACTGGTAGAGAACAGGAGGGTGTAGGGGAGGGGTGTGAGGGATGATACACTATAGACAGTGAGGGTGTAGGGGGGAGGGGTGTAGGGATGATACACTGTAGAGACAGGGAGGGTGTAGGGGGAGGGGTGTAGGATGATACACTGTAGAAACAGAGAGGGTGTAGGGAGGAGGGTGTAGGGATGATACACTGTAGAGACAGGGAGGGTGTAGGGTGGAGAGGTGTAGGGATGATACACTGTAGAGACAGAGAGGGTGTAGGGGGAGGGGTGTAGGGATGATACACTGTAGAGACAGAGAGGGTGTGTAGGGGAGGGGTGTAGGGATGATACACTGTAGAGACAGAGAGGGTGTAGGGGGGAGGGGTGTAGGGATGATACACTGTAGCGACAGGGAGGAGTGTAGGGATGATACACTGTAGAGACAGAGAGGGTGTAGGCACTGTCGGGGGAGGGGTGTAGGGATGATACACTGTAGAAACAGAGAGGGTGTAGGGGGGAGGGGTGTAGGGATGATACACTGTAGAGACAGGGAGGGTGTAGGGGGGAGGGGTGTAGGGATGATACACTGTAGAGACAGAGAGGGCGTAGGGGGGAGGGGTGTAGGGATGATACACTGTAGAGACAGAGAGGGTGTAGGGGGGAGAGGTGTAGGGATGTGGCAAAATAGACCAGCAGCCTGAGCCAGACTCTGATGATCTGACCCATGTCAGAAATTGATTCTGATTCATCAGAAGGTTCAGATGACAGTCACACTGACATTGAAATGATTGAAGGACAGTTTTGATTGACATCTTAATGACATGAGTTCTGCTACTTAATAAAGATACTGGCAGAGGATTTGAAAGCTTTTTAATATTTGGAAACTTATTTAACTCAGTCAGGGTTTTGTTCTTTCTTTGTTGTTGTCGTAATCTAGTTATGTTATTGCGATATTTGCAAACACATTACCATAGTTAGAATCCAAATAAATTATTTTAATAAATGTGCAAGCGGGCCCTGAAAATCCATTTGGCCACCTGAATCTCATACTCAAGTGGCCTGGCCGCCACCTGAAAAAAAGTTAAGGCAGCCCTGCCATCAAAACTCTCAAATCATGAATTTATTTCCCAATGCATTATTTTGAAATCTGAATTGGCTGCCGCCATCTTTGTCTCGTTTGTATGAAAGCGAATGGACTGCCGTACCTCCAGCCTCTTAAATTGGTAGATACGGCTGCCGTACCTGCCATCCACTGCCTTTAATATAATATTGGCCGTGGCTACGCGACCGGTTCCGAACGAGGAGCCGCTAAGCTACGCGTCCGGACATCCATCTCACACAGTAATCTTGCGACACTACACGCATGATTGCGCAACGGGACCTCTGCTGATTGCGCGAGTGTGTGTGTGTGTGCGTGAGAGAGAGAGAGTGAGAGGGAATGTGTATGTGCTGTGTGTGTGTGTGTGTGTGGGTGTGTGTGTGTGTGTGTGTGTGTGTGTGTGTGTGTGTGTGTGTGTGTGTGTGGTGGGAGAGAGAGAGAGAAAGAGAGAGAGATAGAGAACGGATGAAAGGATAGATGGCAGCAGTGCATATATTGTATATTTACGGCAATCAGCAGAGCGTCCCATTGCGCAATCATGCGTGTATGCAAGTCGGGTGATCACTGTGTGAGTAGATGTCCGTATGCGTAGCCTGGAGGCTAGGTGACCGGTTCCAGACGCATAGCCACTGCGTATAATATTTAATAGACAAAACATTTTTCATGTTTATAATAAGTTTAAAGTTACTAACTCGTTAGTACAGCCATAAGAATGATGCCACAGCATATAGCATGTGACAGAACTCCAGTAACTACAGTACAGTGTCAGTACAGACTAGTGTTGCTAGTGTTGCTAGTATGCTACAGTACAGACTAGTGTTGTCAATCGGTTGTAATTTCGTAATCGATCATCGGTTACAATCGGTTACTCAGGGTGTTGAATGCCTGCGTGTGCGTAACGTCGTGTGCATGTACGTGTGTGCATGTACGTGTGTGCATGTATGTGCTTGTTTAGCCCTGTTTACTGTTTGTTTTGCACTGTTTACTACTGTGTGTATAATACATACATGTATGTTAATAAAGGATAACTTGTATAGTAGCGATAATATCTCTGATTCTCATCACTTTTCCAAGTTTTCTTGTTCAAGTTTTACATTCATTTCGACGATATTTTTTATTTTTTTGATGAAATCGATTATGGATTTTGATAACCAAGCGCTTGGTTCGAGCCACTGTTCAACCGAGGATCGAGTATAATCGATGATCGTGACATCACTAGTACAGACTGTATATGCCACGATAGATACGCTATACATGATTACATATAATATTACTATTAGTACAAAAGCACAGGCACTTGCAGCGTTTCAATAAAATATAATGCTAAATAAATACGAAATCTATTTACTACCAAAGTCTTAAATGTTTCTCTACTCTCTTTCACCTATTATTGCCGGCAATTTCCTGTAAATGCCGCCCAAATGCTCATCTCCAACAGACTGTCACACGCTAGCTGCTGCACACGGACACATAAATATATAGCAAGTAGGAAGGCGTGCTGCCAAAATTCGCTCGACGCTCGCTTGATTTCATACGAATACAACACAAATATTCAAACATTCTACTCCATCTTTGTTTCTATTTGAAGAACAGTGTTCACTTGTTATAAAAACATACTGTTTGTGTTCATAACCGAGCTTTGTCATGCGAAATCACACAAAGCCTGACGAAATTCTCTCGTTTGCTCCTGTTGCGCAGTTTATGTAAATGGTTGCAAGTACAGGGCTATAGGCGGCGCACTGCATTATGAGAAACTACCACGCTGCTTTCCAACTCCCGTACGAGCCCCGTCAAAGCCGCCAGTGGAGCGTTGCAAAAACGTGGCAGCGTTGCGGCGCAAAAATGAGGTCACGAAGAGCGCCGGTGGGTGTTTCCTGATTCCGCCAGCCATTTACATAAACTGTGCAACGCGAGCAAATGCAAGAATTCCGTCAGGCTTTGTGTGATTTCGCGTGACACAGCTCGGTTACGAACACAGCCAGTATGTTTTTATAACAAGTGAACACTGTTCTTCAAATAGAAACAAAGATGGAGTAGAATGCTTGAATATTTGTGTTGTATTAGTATTAAATAAAGCAAGGCTCGAGCGAATTTTGGCAGCACGCTTTCTTACCTGCTATATATATTTATGTGTCACTGTCAGTGTGCAGCAGCAAGCGTGCGGTGTAATTGTGGTTTTGAGTTGTGTGTTGCAGATGAGCATTTGGCCGGCATTTACAAGTGATTATAGGCGAAATAGAGTAGAGAAACATTAAGACTTTGGTAGTAAATACATTTCGTGTTTATTTACTCTTTTTTTTATTGAGACGTTCCAAGTGCCTGTGGACAGAAGTACATGGGCCGGCGTAAAAAATATATGCGGAGTATGGCGTGCCAACCTGAGAAAGTTTCTCATCTTCTGAGCTGCAGCAACACCCCATAAATATGTAAATGTATTCACAAAGAACAGCTTCTAAGTAACCACAAACGCACCAACATATGCGTAAGATAATATCATTTAGCTAAGACAAATTACGAAATCTTTTACACACTGACAACCTAAACACCAAATTCTAGACGTCATGTGATTCTTGTTGCACCGTTGGCAAACCATTTGTAAACGTAATTGTTTTGTAACTCGCTGCAGTAAATTTTTATCATGCAGATAAAATTTTATACAACATTATTTAAAAACAAAATATTATCAATTGTATTTAGTTTAATTTTATCAATTTTACTTTTATTATCGTTAAAGTATGAAATCTAAGAAAGCGGAAATGGCCCGCTCACCGATGCAATGAGGGAACCGGATGACGTTAATGAATATTCTGTGTGGTGTTGTTAGTGAGTGTGTATGTTCTAGTTCAGTGGTATCCAGTGAAGGTTTACTCTATATTTGCAACTTGGCTACTGCGTCGTGCAGTCTTAGCAGTTTAGTAATGTTGTGTGTTATAAGTAAAAGCTTCACATGGAGACTATTCGTCTTATGGACAGTTGTGCTGCTGTTTCACTCAGCCTGTGTGATGAGTCAACTGCTGGACAGGCAAATCTCATCACAATCTCAGCTGAAGTTCGGTCCTAGTCCTGGTGTTGGCAATCAGGTTCGAAAGGATATAATTCAGCAAGGTAATGGTAATATGCGTTGAAATTTTACATTGCACGAGGGAAATTGTTTTTCCATCGATCCATGTAACAATTGTATGCACAGGAAGTGTTTGGAAATGATGGAAAACACAGTACTACTACTAGTCAGTAGGCTACCTACTCAGTACAGTCAGTAGGCACTGTAGTATTAAATTAACCCAAAAGTGACAAAACAAGAGAAGCTGGATGGGTTGAAAGCAAACCTATTTAAGACTAGGCCTGAAATAGGACTCTCATCAGTCTATAACGATATTGATGATAGTGAAGTGTGCATATGGTCTTGACTCTTGAGGATGAGCGAACAGATTATAACAGTGTATTTCAAGATTTAAGATTCAAGATTCAAGATTCAAGATGTTTATTTGTGCGTAAGTCGTGTATATACAGTTTACACCGGCAAGTACGTAGGAAATATATAAGTCATAGTTAATATCTAGTGAAGATCTTCTTACTTTTGAAGATTCATGCGGTTGCACATCTGCCAAATTTTCTTTGGACATTTGCTGAAAAAAATACAGTAATTCCACGAGGTCATGCTCTGGAACGAACTAGTTAGTATAGCAGAATTTTCAGGGATTCACACGGACTCCTGCATGTATGTCAAATCAGGGAGTCATCAGTAATGCAGTAAACATACATAGTACATTCAACTGCATGAGGCAGGGTGTGTTGTTTTTACTAAAGTTAGCCAGCGTTCTACTCTAGTTTTGCTGGACTGTTCTGGTAAATTGTAATGTACCAGGGCACACAGTTTTAGCATATATATTCAACCAGCAAAATGGAACGTGTAAATGAGGATATGACTACCCCACCACCATAATACTAGTGGCAGTAACATTTGTGGTAGTGTTCATTTCCTTATTTCATTTACTTTTCTGTATTCCATTATGTATTATACTCTACAAAAAACCTGATATATATAATATATATATTATATTATTCAACCCGATAGCAGGCAGTGTGTAGTATGTCATGATACTTGTCTATAATTTTTGAATTTTTCTTGAGTGACTTTTACGTATTTTGACTAGATGTGTACGAAATGTATTAATATATATATGCACATAATTCATTGGAAGTGCTTTGATCTTGTCTGTCACGCTTGAAATTTGTCAAAATTTTGTTTTAGATTGTGACGAGAGCTGTAGGAAGGATGAAGTTGCATTCAGTGCGATTGCCGCATTGCACAAGCACTTGGACGATGACTCAGATGGATCCATTGACATAACTGAGAGTGATGAGGTTTGGTTTTTGGTTTAGTTTAAACATCCCTGTTTGCTAAGCGATTTGAATAATTGGGGCGTTAAACCTTTACAAATTTGGATAGATAATTTAAGGGAAAGACGTGATGTTTCTAATTGCTGTTGACATGTAATTTGCATATGGAAATTATCTATTGGTATTCTAACCCAGAGTTAATAAGGCCAAAACAAAATATATGTGTGGTTACCGTTACATGCCGAAAAAAATAGGGTAGGTAGCAGGGTTCTCCCTACGTTACGCAAACGGGGCGCGCGCGCCCCGTTTGGGAAAACTCCCCCCTGTTTGAATCGTTGCGCCCCGTTTGGGAAAACTCCCCCCTGTTTGAATCGTTGCGCCCCGTTTAAATTACCTCCGCCCCGTTTAAATTCCACCACAATAAAAGTTTGCCAGCGCGGGAATCGATTGTCAAGAATTGCCGTTCGACCAGGACATCCGACGCGTGTATTTTTACCGTACCACGCATGCACTGCAGACAGTACACAAGTTAACCTGACCATGCACAGTTAACCTGTCACTAACTGTACACCGACTCGGCTATCTTATATATACAAGAACCCCAAATACCGTCTATGGTGTGGTGGCGATTTTACGCATTAATTAGTCGTTCACACACACACACACTATATGTTGCACATGCATGCTATGTGATTAGGTAGTTCAGAGCATCCACATTTTTAGTCGAATGCTTCGTGTTAAAAAACATCAGGTATACATGATTGCAATTTCTCAAGCTGTAAAGTCACAACTACCTTCCTTGGAGACTGAAGCTCTTAGGATTTAGAAACTAATATCAGACATTGGTCCGGTTTCCAGTGACGGGGACACAAACGAAGCAATGAGGATGTAAAATACACCGGCACTGACCACCTTCGTTGAAAACACCAGAGTAAGGTTTGGTGTAATTATGAAGCGTCGAAATTGCATGTGCCTAAGGGACTCTGCCTTATAACGTAAAAAATAACTACTAAGCCAACTCTTAGCTCTGTTTTCTCAGTGCTACATTGTACAATAGCATGATAATTGATACTAAATTGAAATGATATATATTATTTATGCAACGTGGCTAGAGGTAGAGCAGCCATCGTTCGTTGAAGCCCCTATTGGCATTTGAGGCAGTTATTTGCAATCTTCTGATTTAAAGTTTACAACAAGTGCCGCAGTGCGACAGGGCTCATCTGGTGTCCGGTGTTCTGCTGATAAATTCATTTGTGCATAGCAAGACGTCTTATACATAAGTCTTCTTTATTCTTGTTTGCCTTTCGTAGCCAATTGGAACAAATATATCAGCTACACTTTCGCACCCACCTAATCTCTATGCATTGCAGACACATGTGCATTGCAGGTTGGCAGGCAACAATTATGATTAGAAGTGTGCCAGCCATGGGCTGCCCCGTGTTTTTGCCTACCCGGACAGACTGCTTTAGAAAATAATATGATCTAAGGAGCATAAACCTTGTTCAACAAACATTTGCCTTTGCAATTAAACTGTGCAACTGTAGCCTCACATTCACACAGGTATGGGTTCTAATAATAGTAAAAGCAGTTCAGTCCTTTGTTAACAGTCAACAAATCAATGTTTAACCCTCCTCTTGAGGGTCAAAAGGTTATCCGACACTTACTTTTCGCATGTCAGCGGAAAGTACATTTCCCGGTCCTTTCAATAAAGCCATAAAAATGGTAGGTCACCACGGCTGAAACAATAGTGTTGGGTGTGGGACAGGTTAACTGTTTGTACTTGTGTATTGTGTGCAGTGCATGCGTGGCACGGTAAAAATACACGCGCCGGGTGTCCTGGTCGAATGGGAGTTCTTGACGATCGATTCCCGCGCTGGCAAACTTTTATTGTGGTGGAATTTAATCGGGGCGGAGGTAATTTAAACGGGGCGCAACGATTGAAACAGGGGGGAGTTTTCCCAAACGGGGCGCGCGCATTCAAACAGGGGGGAGTTTTCCCAAACGGGGCGCGCGCGCCCCGTTTGCGCAACGTAGGGAGAACCCTGCATGTATGTTGAAAGGATGTGACTTGTGCACTATATATGTTGTGAGATTTTTGCTGTGGCTGACTTTGGTTGGTCTTCAACTATATCATTAAAGTAGACAATTTCCCTGTAGCCGACATTTACATGTGAATTTATCCAGTAGCACTAGCAGTTTTAAAACCAATCTAAGAATAAACGTTACCAGAAATTTTTCGTTAAATGGGTAAAAAAAAGTTGTGAGTACGAAACTTAACTCGGTTCAATTTTTTTCGTCATTTTCCACCGTTGTAGTTTCTGAAGGAGGAGCTGCACTATAACAACAAGGAGAAGGCAGCATCGAGACAGATGACCTTCCATCAACAGGATGAGTATGTCACACTAGATGAGATGTGGCAAAAATGGGTCCACTCCTCGGGTTAGTACAGGGCACGCGTGTGCGCAGCCAGCTCTGCCTCTATATTGGGCCATCCTTAAAAAATTATATGTTTGCTGTTCTTTGACCGACCAACGAAAATAGCCACGACCCAAAAGTTTTTTTTTACATTTTGGGTTCCATATTTTTATTTTTTATTTTTTATACATTTTTCATAGTTAAGACTGAAACACAAAGCATGTGTGGAAAACATGAGGACAGACTTAAAATAACTAGTATGCCTCACACACAAAAAATGACCTACCTACCTACCCACTAAAAAAATCATGGGTCGGGGGACAGCAAACATAGAATTTTTTAAGGATGGCCTTACCTCACTTTGCTACAGTCCTGTAGGAATCACACTGCAACGCATGTCACTCTTAGTACAGGCAGGGCCTAAACCAAGCCATTTTTCATACCGAATACCGGCACCCAAATTATGACCTTAGGTAGCAAAACGCCCAAATTAGTAAATTTATAAAACGCCTAAATTAGCAGAGCTCTGAAAATTGTGAAAATTAAATCTCCATGTTTCTATCGTTATGTAGGCACTGTTTTATAATAAAATGCTCATATAAGATCTATAATCTATTATCTGAATAAAATTTTAATGTTATTATACATCTACGGGGTACCTAAAATATATTTTCTGCTTGCTCCGCTCGCCAACGGCAGGGTTCTCCAAGCTTTTTCATTATAGCATGGCGGGTGCTGCCTAAAGTTACGGTCCTAGTTGCAAATCGCTGAAGGCGGTTTGCGTGCTAGGGGGTTCCGAGGGCTATGATATTTAGCATGGCGGCTATGATATTTAGAGTGGCGGGTGCATTTTAGGATGGCGGGGCTCAACGATAGCCTGGCGGGCCTCCAGGCTATAAGTGCTCTTGGAGAACCCTGAACGGCCCCCAAATTTTTTTAACGCTTGCTACGCTCACCATCGGTGCCCATATTAAGCAGCTAGAGTAGCCCCTGTCAGGGCACGCATGTGTGCAGCCAGCTCTGCTGCCGTATCACCTCACTTTGCTACAGTCCTGTATGAATCACACTGCAACGCATGTCACTGTGTTACCGTAATATAGACGTGTTGAGGTACCATTTAACTGGTTATAACTGGTGATAACATACTAAACTACTCTAGAGCACTCGGAGGGCACAGACCTCCGCCAAGGCAGCTGAATTTTGGCACTGTGAAAATTGTTATTACTATATATATATACTCGCGTAATAACCGCAAATTTGGCCTCAGATTTCAACCCTGTATTTGCTCTGCGGTTTATAAGTGCGCCATACCGTGAGGGGAAATATACTAGGCGCAATACTTGGTTACCCGATTCAAATTGAGGTGCGGCTTATAGGCGCCCGCGGTTATTACGCGATTATATACGGTAATTAATTAATTAAATAATTAATTGGATCCGGATGACGACCAAAATGTAATCAATTCTAAGTTACCCGATTTCTGACGTATCCTGAAAATTTAATTATTTAATTAATTAATTGGATCCGGATCACTACCAAAATGTAATCAATTCTAAGTTACCCCATTTGTGACCTATCCTGAAAATGTTATTAATTAATTAATTAATTGGATCCGGATCACCACCAAAATCTTATCAATTCTAAGTTAGCCCATTTCTGACCTATCCTGAACATTTTATGACAATCCGTCCATAACTTTTTCAGTTGGGCTGTACATACACAAACAAACCCACAAACCCACAAACACACAAACGAACAAACACACACTGGTGAAAACATAACCTCCTGCCAACCCCTTGGCGGAGGTAATTAACAATGTTATATAATTTATAACAAACAACAATACATATAACCATAATAATAATATACATGTATGATGTTTGGTTATTATTATTATTAAAGTTTACTATATATACGTTTACGGGTTAAGTTTACTGATACTTGGGGTATTATTGTATTTTTATTATATAGTAGGTAAGTTTAGTGTTTGGGATTGATATTATGTTATGGAGGTGTACAATCACTACATTGACGCTAAGCTGCTCCTGATCTGCCGGGCACCCAAGAACAGCAGCAGCTTAAGCAGGTTAAGGAAGGTTGGGTGAAAAATGAACTGTTATGTTATAGAAGGTGGTAGAATGAAGGTTATACGTGTTATAGTCAGCAGAGCAAAGGTGTCAGAAACTCGTGGAGCAGAAATATGAAATGTCATTTTTCAAATATTGCTTATAAATTGTCTGCTTGCTCAGGATCACTGCTGTGGCCTGTTGCACAATATTTTAACAGTACCGATATCGAAAACCACATAGATCTTAGAGGTAGTATCTTTGTCTGCATTTCGGAATTGACCACTCAAATATACCACAGCCCAATGTAGTGCTAGTACTGACTAGTGCTTTCTGCAGTAGGGAGTGCCCTGGTTGACGGAAAGTGAAATAAATTAGGTCAAAGGTTAGCTGGCTTTGCAGTTACGGGAGTGGTGCTATCCAGGACTCACATCCTTCAAGAGATATTTGTTGTATAATTTGTAAGCATATCTAACACGGATAATGATAGTAATGTTCATCATACCTATTTCGCTTACTTCCGCTTTTCCGGGTGAAGTGACTACAAGTGAGAAATCAGTTTTAAGTACGGCTTAGACCTCATATTGCAGCGACTATATATACTTGAACCACAGTGCGCAAAATAGCGCTATTTTGCTGCCGGCCGGCGGTTCAACCCCCTACACTGCCGGTTCAACCCCCAATATAATCAGTTCACTTGGCCTATTCAAAATATTGCCTAGATCTTGCCTTTATATCAACAATATTTTCCAATTTCCTTACTAGTTTTTACTTCACTAAGACTCTACTCCACTTCTTAATACAAACTGTGCAAATAAATACTACGAGTATGCCTAATAAACACAAAGCTAATACTTTTATTAATAAATGGAATATTTTGAACAAAATTACGGGCTTGTTCAAACTTGTAAGGGCCTGTTCAATTTGTCAAAAGGCCTGTTTAAAATTTTGGGTGAGCCTGTTCACATTTTGGCTAATTTCATGCCATGATTCCAGATCTAATTAATCGATGAAGCCACAACAGGCCGCACATTCTAATTAGTGATGCCACCTACGCCATAACACACAATACTGGTTCTGTCGTGTCGAAACAAGTACGTTTAGTATCCTTATATTGTAAAAGTAGAGCGAATGATTGCTATGGGCTCAAGGTACGTACGTACGTGATAGGTGGCATTGCTGAAACAACATTTCCTCGTGCGAAAGGTTTCGTATTGACATTTAATCGGATTGCTTACACATGTAATACGCGGTGATCTATTGGCAAATTAGCTTAGTACACCCATAAGCATGCTATATTAATACAATAAAATTGAAGTAAGAGGCAATGATCTTGATATATACAAATATCTTTACTATATATTAATTTTATATAAGAGCTATAGTATATAGTGTTTGAAAAAGGCTACATGTATGCAATATACACAGATCTAGATGAATTTTTTCTTTCGATATGAACATTGTTTGAGACGCAACATTTTAAAATGAATGTAGGACATCAGTATATCTATGTTGTTCGCAGATTTTTTGTACGCTGCTTTCATTTTTACGTGTAAACATTGTTCACGGATTGTGGACCCATTCCAAAGTCTGTGGCCTGTGGCTCACTCTGCCCTAATGCACCAGCACTACCTGCCTTGGTTGTAGTCACGCCTTCATATCAGCGATTGTTCAACCCAACCTCACGGAATCAGTCTAGTCCCGATTGCCTTATTACTATTGTTAACTTGCTCGACCGCAGTGAACTGTACGTGTGCAACTCAGTTTCGCTAGCTAGCCGTCCGTCTGAAGGCTCCAGCTCTGTGTCTTTCCTTTCACTTTGTTACAACCTGATATCGTAAAAGCTAATCCGATACGCACACTTTGTGTACTCACGAAAGCGGGGGCGGCTGCAGCGACCACGTTATGTCAGCATATATATCTGTTACGAGGTTCTGGCCGTGTCACGCGATAGCATTGTGGCAGTTCTGTTCACCCTAGAACAGCATACGCCGTGGCTCCTAGTGATTATCCAAATATATAAATACGTGTTTATCTCTCTCTCGATCTCTATATATATATCTAATTATATATATCATGCATGCATTGTGCCCTTTGAAAACATGCACTGTACTTGCATTCAGCAGTTATTTGCGTACTAATTCTCGGGTTTACAAATAACTATGATAAATTTAATTGTAACAAAATAAATATTGTACCAATGAGAAATTCTCGTTTCTTTACGTATCAATGAAATTGTTAATATTGGGACTTTCGTTAAACATCTAAGGGCTGCTGGGAATCTGGCCATTTTTGAATATAATGATCAAGAGCTGTGTTTTTCTCCTAGTGCATAACTGGACTACGGAAGATGTAGTCGAATGGCTAGTAAGCTACGTTGACCTGCCTCAATATGCGCCCAAATTTAAGGAGCTTAACATCGATGGAACGGCGTTACCAAGGTACGACTATTCTGATAGCGCTATATACAGCGATTACTCGATGATGATTTTGTTTGAATTTAGGGCAAAATGTTTGACTATGAATCATTTCGCTCTGTGTGATGGCACTGGCAGCTGTTTCAACCCGCATTGTACACAAGTGAAAAACCTTCACCAGGTAAATGTGAAGCAGCTGCCAGCTTTGTGAGTCAGACAATGCAGACAAAGGGAGCAGGATATTAAAAGCGTTGAAGATTGTACGTCTCTGTCTCTCTGTACTCTCTGTTTCTCTGTCTCTCTGTAAGCTTAAGCATATAAGTTAGTTTGCATGCACCTGTGGACGAATATGAGTGAAACCATAAAATAATATATGAGATTATGGAACATACAGCTATATGCAAATGAAACTCATGGCAATTAATTAGTCTGCGCACGTTGATATCGCGTAGCTTAATTCAGTTAGTTAATTAGTGCACATTTGTGCATTTACGTGAGTTTACATGTATGTGTGGGTGTGTGCGTCTGCCATCATATATCGAAATACCCATATGCGCATTGTCAATTCATAAACTTGCTGTTTGATGTTTTTTTTAGGCTGGCACTGGCAGCAGATAGCATCATGCAGACTTATATTGGCATAGTCAATCCCAGCCATCGTAGAAAACTGACGCTGAAGGCCATGGATATAGTTCTCTTTGGAGCTCCTAAAAGTAGGCAAAAATATTAATTATTCCCATATATTGATTGTAATTGTATCCCCCGCGACGAAGTCGGCAGGGATACTATGGTTTCATGTCTGTACAGCCGCCACCGCCGCTCGGTCCGCTACAGATTTTTCCTTCCGCTCTATAACTCGACCCCTAATTGACCTAGCGTGACCAAACTTGGTCTACTTACACATCTTGGGGAGAAGGTGAGCAGCATACCAAAACCAGGACACTGCGACCTTTATTTGACTTTTACCTTGACCTTGATCATATTTCCCTTCCGCTCTATAACTCTGTCCCTAATTGGCCTAGCGTGACCAAACTTGGTCTACTTACATATCTTGGGGAGAAGGTGGTCAGCGTACCAAAACCAGGTCACTACGACCTTTATTTGACCTTTACCTTGACCTTGATCATATTTCCCTTCCGCTCTATAACTCGGCCCTTAATCGACCTACCGCGACCAAACTTTGTATACTTACACATCTTGGGGAGAAGGTGTGTCGCGTACCAAAACCCCTAAGGCAACCAATTTTAATATACTTGCACATCTCAGGCAGATGAGTTGTGTAACAAACCTT